CTTGTAAGGGTCCTCCTGTTTACAAAGCTTTAGCAATCCTTCACAGCTAGAATGCATCCTTACAACCTTTCTAGGCTTCACTAATAATCTATTTTCTCTTAATATACACAGAACTTAGTAAATAAACCTGCAGCTGGATACTCTCCCTCCATTTCAGTTGGGTTACTCTTATTTCTGCTGTGTTTGAGCACTGTATTTCAGAACATTCAGGGCTTGGATTAGAAAAAAATATCCAGATCAACAGGCTACAGTTTTTAAAAATCATTAATTTAAATGAAAATCAGAAATCGTGTACCAATCTGTCCAAGTCGGAAAAAACCCCAGCCAAACATGAAAACACCCAGCCTTCCCCCCTTTAATAAAAAAAAAAAAACCCAAAATAACAAACCACAAAAACAAAACAAAAACATAAACCCCAAAAACCTAGAGAGGAAAATGAGAAATAAATTTATCTTCAAGAAGTATAACAGAACACTGAAAAAACAGACTGTCATCCATTCCTTACTTGGAAATAGAAGTGTGTGGAATTATCACAAAGAAAGTTAAAATCAATATTTTATTCTGCTGTTTGCAAAGTAATGGCACTAAGCATTTATCCAACACAGAAGATACCATGAGTGCTAATGACCAGGGAGAAAAAGTGAGAAGTGAAACCACTTCTCTGTCTCAAAACCTCTAAACATAACACTATTAAACAGGACTAGCACTATTAAGATCCAAGTTTGTAGTACTAATTTTTCCTTTTTTATGATAATTTGTCTCATAGAAAAAATGAACATACACATAGAAAATGAGATTACATTATTTTTCTTATTCAAACGCTGTATTGACTTTTAAAGCATTGCATCATACCAAACAGCTTGTGGTGGGCATTCTATTGACCACATGGACCAAAAAAATTAAATCTAATTCAATTTAGAGACATGTGTGCCTCAAACTGGGGGAACTGCTTCTTTGTAAAAATTAGGAAGAAACTATTCTATTTTAAATTAAAACAGTTATTTCCTTTACTTCCTTTAATTTATGGGTCAATTCTTAGAAGGTCTACACTGAAATCCGTTTCATAGGACCACAGGATATGCTGAGCTGGAAGGGACTCATGAGGAACATCGAGTTCAACTCCTGGCCCTGCACAGGACACCCCAAGAGTCACCCCATGTGCCTGAGAGCATTGTCCCAACACTTCTTGAGCTCTGTCAGGCTGGTGCTGTGAGCACTGCCCTGGGGAGCTGTTCCAGTGCCCAGCCAGAAATCCATACTGTCTACTGAAGAGTAAGGACTACAATAGGATTTGATTCTAAATTTCCAGTTAGAGAACTTCTTCTATTCAAACAAGGGTATTTCTTTTACTATATACAGTGATTAAAATAATTGAAATTAGACTAGTGCTTAAAATTAAATAACTTTTGCAATATGGCTTATAGCTCTCGATATTGACTTATTCAATATTTTTGTTTCCATAAACACCTTAATCATAATCTGGTTCATAGCAAAGTACAAGCTTAAATGATTTCAGCTATAACAGGTCAAAAGAATGTTAATAAAACTTGGGCAGCAGAAAACCGAGCTTGATTCATTTAACTAATCAATAGCCACTTTGAATTTTAGGTTGAGAGAAAAAACCACATCCAAAATCAGTATGTAGTGAGATGGCTCTCAACAATGCAGAAATGCAGACTTAAAATACTTTATTAAAAACTTGAGTTAAACCAAATTATCTCCAAGTCTTTCAGATACGTATCTCCAAATTTGTTTTGATATTGAAATTTTTCACCTTAAGGATGTTAAGACATGGAAGCAACAAAGTAAACTAAAGGTAAATGTAACTGGAAAATCCTGTGTTGGTTGTATTCAAGACCACTAATCTAATGAGAATTAAGCATTATGCAAAAGATAGACGAAAGCACGTGCAATAATACTTAGCACAGAAAATTTTGAGCAAATTAAAGGAGGATGGTGACACAATGCATGAGTTTGGGGTGGGGGTAGTACAGACCTAACTGTGGTGTTTCTTTTTAGCTGATTTTATGAACTGGTAATGGAAGAGAGCAACTCTATGCTGACACCAAGATGTGAGCTACAATTGTACTGCTGGTGGTGCCAGGCAGAACTTCTTGTTTCTTCAGAATTCTCTGCATCTCTGCATTCTTCAAGAGAGGAGCAGCACCAGCTGATGGCCAGTGCCTCAGGCCATCCATCAGGGTCAGAACTTACAGAGAGTGAGAAACTCAGCCTGAATCCTGGCACCTCTCACCTCCCCTTTCCATGTGGTGGGAGCTGTCTCCCTGCCACAGGCATTGCATTTCAGATGTCCATGCATGAAGTACAGAAGGATGAGTCAACCTAAAGCATTTCCAAACCTTAAACACAAAACTGGAATCTGCAAGCAAATGCACTCATTGGCTATAACAGGACAAGTGCCAAGATGACCCCACACTGTGCCCTGTTCCTGGGTGCTCCAGGCTGGTGGTCACCACGGCCACCATCAAAAACAGCAAATGCTACACCTGGCTCATCTAACATCTCCATCCTGCCAGCTTTACCTCTGCTGTAGCCAATTTTGGATGTTTCAGAATTCTGATAACTTGTGTGAGACAGAACAGTACTTTTGACATGCTGAGGATAAATTTGTCTTGCATTTGATGATGAGATTCAGCTATAACTACCATACAAAAGCAGTGTTATTAGTATTTTAAATTAGATGATGCTAATCCTCTTTGTTCCAAGAGCCAAGAAGGAAGAAGTCTTGAAGGTCAAAAAGAGATCAATGTATTCATTAAATCTGACAGACTGATGTAGTAGATATACCAGGTATCTATGCTTTGTAAATATTTATCAGCTTTTGAAGCAATTTCAAGTTCTCACCTTCACAAGACTCTGTCTGTGGTTTTCACTGGTAAGACCTTCCAATGTTTTATTGTTCTCATTACTGGGACATTCCATGCAAGATTAAATAATTCTCAGATGTAAATTTTCGGCTCTTAGCTCTTGATGTATGTTGGTCAGCAAAACTGAGACATCACTAAATATTCTTTAGCAAATGATCACATTTCTTCACATTTCTTCTCCATTTTTTCTTTGGCAAACTAAGTTGATAGAACTATCTAACATTCATAGAACAAGGCTTGCTTTTCCAGTCCCCCATGCTTCTAGGAGATTTCTTTGATTTTCTTCCAGTATTTCAAAATCATTTTTAACCTTCAAGAACTAGACGTATGCACATTCTAATAACAGTACCACAGGCATTATTTGCTTTCTGTTCATGTTTGACCATTCTTCAGCAGTCAAGGACTGTATTGGTTCTCTTTCCTGGTGTCACACTGACAGTTCTACTGAGACATTAGCTAGGATAATCCTATTCCCTTATATCAGAGACAGAAAGCTCTCACACTCCAAAATTAAGAACCTGCCGTGTAACCAGTAAATTCAGCAATCATAATTCCATAATAGTAACCACATTATCATTTGTCAGAAATATTCATGTCACCTTCCAAATTCATCAGTAAAAAAATTAACTACATTTTCCATAGAGATCTGAAGAAGAGGTATAGCTAATCCTTTATCTCCTAAATCTTCCTTTAAAGGAATTATCCAAATTTTAAGGTTAATAATTTCAGTGCCCTGAACATCGCAAAAGTATTTTGTACTTGAATGTGTTTTTTTCAAGTTTTCACATTGAATTTGATTAAAATTTATAGGAAGAGTTCAAATTCACTTTGAGAATTTCTCATACAATAGGAATCAATAGTACACTTCAAATCTAGCTTTCCCTTTTACCACTTCAGAGAATTTTCAGATCAGAAAATGATACAAGGCAATGCATGATCCTGTGGGACAAAAGCCTACACTACTCCTTTCAAGGTCTTAAATCACAAACTCTTTTAGTCTTGCTTTTATGTTTCTTACCAGCACCAGATACCTCCCTGCATACTCATCCAACACCAAGACTTTGAAAACACCATTATCTGTTTCTCTTCCTTACAGGAGCTCACAGTCAGGACACTGAACTTCAAGGAAAGAGGAACACACCTGAAGTCATACATGAACAATGATATTTAAATATTTTCAGAAATGCTTACTGGTTTGGATTCCCCCCCGCCCCGATTTTGAACCCATGCAAAATCAACTGAGGAGAGTCTTCTCCCTTCCCAGCATCTGTGAGTGGAAGAGGTAGCACTTCTCTAGCATTTCCATCCCTCATTTTTATTTGCAAAAATGTTCCTGCAGAAAAATACCATACCAGTCATTTCTACTCATATAATCTGTTACCACCACCCGTTGTTACAATGCATGCAGAAAGCAGGATGTCTAGATGATAAAGCAAAAATCCATTTACACAAGTTAGGAAAAATATTAGCTCTGAAAACAAACACCTTACAAATGATAATTCAAAGACAAATAAAATTAAAAATCAGTGGGAAACAAAAACACTATTTATTTAGCAAACATAATAAAAAATATCTTTACATACTTAAGAGACTTAAAGCATATTTATTTAATATGTTGCAATTCTTCTTCTAGTATGACTAATGTAATTTAATTTTTTGGGGGGAGTGACAGTATGTATTCATCTACTAATACAAACATGATTAAGTACATCCCAATGATTAAAGAAATTTAAATGACAATAATAATTTGGCCTGCATGAAGAAGCAAAGTACCAAAAGAGCCATATTGTCTTGTGGACAACTGATAAACTGAAGGTTTTTTTGAATTCAGGCTTATTTGAGATCCAAAATTAAAAGCAAATGTCAGCAGTATAAAACTGTAATTTTTCAAACAGGATAAAGAAGATACTTTTATTCAAGCATTTATTTTAGTTCATATCCCTGAGATTAAATGAGATCTTAGTAAGTATTGAATTTTATTACTCAAAATATGATTGTGTGGTCACTTAATAAAATTGATTAATCCTCAGTGATAGCAGCCAGAACAACAATAAAAATTAAATTTTTCTTCTAATGTAGTAGAACAAAATTAGACATTTAGACTAATCTTACCAGAGCTCTGCACTCCACCTCTATGGTCCTTTCTGCTGCTGCAGGTGTGCTGTAAATCTTCAAGGAGAACCACACTTTGCAATTTGAAGAACCTCCTCCTATGTTAGAAAAACCAAAATGCCTTACAAATTATCCTATGATGTGATCAATCCTAGCAGCTTTCAAAACAATGAGAACTTTGAACTTTTAGCAGAAATGCCAGTCACTGTTCATACTGAGACAAAGCAAATCATGAACTCATTTAATCACTGTCAACAAACTCTATTGTCTAATCCCCTCTTGTCAGGATTCAAAATAGTAACAAATTAATATATACACAAATTGAATGGAAATAGCACTTTGGCGAATTAGCTTCCACATTGTTTCTGGGTTTTAAATATCATTGATTTGTAACTAAAACTTCATAGCAAACTGACACTACGTTTGTAATTTTATATCAGGAAATCAAAATTAGTTCCCCTCACATAATTTCTTTTTTATCTAACATTTTCCTGGTTTTTGAACACAGTCGTGAATGTTAATAAAATTATCTCATCAATCTCGATCAGGTAGATGAAACAAATTAAGCCTGAAATCTCTACATAAGGCCTGATTTTCACAGCACAAATATTTCATGTGGTAGGATTTTTTCATGTGTACAGAGTTGTTTAGCACCTTTTAATAATGCATACCCAAGACGTGCTTGCACTATTCCTGTTTGTCAGTGTATTGTATGAGATGAAAATAGCCTTAATCCTCCTACTCACACTTTCCTGAATTACACACTAGAGAGCTGCATTAGCACTCCTGTTTTACCACAGCATTTGTCTTGGGAGCTCCTACTGATTTTCTCTTCTGCTGTGACCCCAGCTTATCTCAGAGTCACCATTTTCCTTGGTGCAACTCCTTATTCTACATATATGGCTTTATTTCCAAACCCTGTTTCCAATAAAATGGTTTGTGACAGGATTTATTTGCATTATTTTCTTACAATTTTCACCAAATACATTCTGTATTAACTTATCCATTTTCTCTGGGCTAATTTGATATGCATAAAATTTACTGTGTTTTAATACCAGAATTCCAGGCTTACACTGTCTGGAATAGCCTCAGTGTCTTACAATCTTTGAAAATTAGCATCATTGAGCTAAAGAGATCTTCTGAATGTCCATTAAAGGATTCTGGCATGTACAGGACCCTGAGTTTAATCAATTACAAAAGGTAAAAAAAAAAAATCAATACACAGAAGAGATGTAACTTGTGCAACAAGGGAGGATCAGCTACACCAAAACAGAATATACTACCTTGGAAGCTGACATAAACATTCTTAATTAAGATCAAAAGAAAATCAAAGAGGAAAATCATAGCTTGGGACATCATGTTCTTCAAGAATGCAGTCAAACTGTAGGAAAAGATCTGGAATTCAGGTAGGAAACAAAAGAGGAAAACATCAACAGCAAAGTTCCATTTACCAAGGATATGTGATTAAACTGCAGGACAATGGGATTCATTAAGTACAGCAACACATTCACGAATTAATTCTATACAGTTAAGGAAAACAGAAAAGAGCATAAGCTGCTATTTAAACAGAAAATTAACAAGGCTGCCACCCTCTCCTCAAACCTCCAAGAATACTCATACCAAGAAAAACTCCACCCTCAAGTGACAACTTGCTAGGGACTTAAAAAAGCAGTAGCACGAACTTTTCAAACACATTTGAAGCTGGTAGCCTGACAAACTCAGAAGGGCTGATAGATGATCAGGGTGGAAAAGGAATGCTCAAGGAAGATAAGGCTGCAGCAGAAAATCTAAATTAATTCTTTGCAGTAGTGTTCATTACAGTGGAGTTCAGGGGCTTTCTAAGCTCTAGAGCTTGTTTTGAGGGGAATGGTCAGAGAGACTCTTCCAAATTGAGGTTTCAGCAGAAAAAGTTTCAGAGCAGACTGATAAAGTAACAAATCATCTTTGCAAGAGATGTCTGCCCAAAATTTGTGGTTTAATGAAAGATGTCCCTGTCCATGGCATGGGGGTTGGAACTAAACAACCTTTAAGGTCCCTTCCAACCCAAACCACTCTACGATTCTGCAAGTCTGTGAATTCAAAAGGATGTCAAGTATTAAATTGTGGTATTGCAAACCAGCATGTGACCCCTTTGCTTAAGTCAGCTTGGGATATGAAGAAAGGAAAAGGCAGAGAATAGGATGCCAAATTTTAGACAGGTCTTCTGCATAAATTTAGACATTACAGACATGAGTTTGTTTATTTATTCCAAAGTAAATTATTAAGCATCACAATAAAGGAGGGAAGCCACAACACACAAAACTATTTGAATTCTTTGACAAAATCAGCAGCTGTGTGAATAAGGGAAATGTGGTTTACATAGTACCCTGCTTCTCATTACAATATTAGGCCTTCCAGCAATTCATATATGCTGCAACCAAGTTATTTTTCCATACACTTACAGCCTTCTTTTTCTCTCAGACCACACATTTCTCCTCTGTATTCATAACTAACCTGAATCACATTTCTGTTCTTCATAACTGCAGCAATATAAAGCTTTTAGTCTACTGCCTTTCTCTCTTCTTCCTTTAATATACAAATTCATTTATTTTGTTCAATTTGCTTAAAAACTACTCTAATTTCTGATATTTCTCAAAAGCAAAGCTTTCAGGTCAAGTTGCTTTCTTTTTAGTTTTGACTACAAGTGTTTTGAGCTATTAAAACATTTTTCTATGTTAGAAATTCTTGATTTCTTTTTTGAATTTTAATTTGAATGTTTAGATTTGTTTCTCTTTAATTTTTTCTCAATTTTCAAAAATCAAATACTTTTTCTGGAGACCCTAAATAAGCCACAGTACTTACAGATTACTTTTCTGGGAAACAGCTGTCATGTCTGGGAGGAAATACCTTGTACATGTTTTTCAATGATGTTACATGTATTTAGATATTTTCAGTGATAATGTTATTTGCATAACAATTGGAATTTCCCTAAAAATTTTAAAATACTTTGATGGAAACAGTTTTCCTAATGCATGGTATGAACCTGGCAATTCTCTGCTGAAGGAGGCTCTTTTTTAGTTTTGTAGCTGAGCCCTTGACTGAAAGTTTCTGCAATTTCCACTTAGTATTAAGCCTTGAAGTTGTATAAACTTTGATGTTCTGTCAACTTTTACTCAGTGAAAACAAAGCTGAATTGTTGTTTGCTGCCCACTTGCATTGTTTAAAACATAAAACTCAGGGTTTTATCCTCACTTAGCTGAAAGCCTGATATCAAATAGTGACTTTAAAGGTGAGTCCCTGCTCATGTCTTTACCCATATAATGTATTTTAACAGGCTACATCAAGGCCAATTTATTGCAAGTATCCTCATCCCAAAGTAATTATAGGCTAATTTTACTCCAAATGTCTTCTCTTCCTCAGGTAACCCATAAGAAAGAAGCTAGTTCTTACTCTTGAGAATACTCAGAAGTCACTTCCAAAGCTATAAGCTTAAGCTCCCTGGAAAAAATAAAATACCTTTAACAGATCAAAATAACATCAAATGTTTTGAAATTTCCTTTAGTTTTATCTCAGCATTCAAACCCAAAAAACAACTTGCATGGCTGAAGATAGGTGTAGCATTAGAAATTCATTTTCTAATGTAAAGAACAGAAGGTCAGGAGTGTGGGGATTTTTTGATCATCTTTTGTTAGAGTTTTTCAAAGAGTTTTACTTTACCAGAGAGTAGATGCTGGGAAAGGCTCAAGGATCAGAGGTAATGGAAATAAACTCAATATACTCAGGCTGAAACTCACAGATGGCTCCTTCTCTAGTCACAGAACAAGGTTATATTTGTCTGGTTCTGTTTTCTGCACACATTTCAAAAGCAAGCAGAAAAAAAAAACAGTATGCACTTTTCCTTTTCTCTTTACTTTTCTAAACTTCCATTGACATTTTTAATGCATTTTAAGTTTTTTCTTAGGGCCTGAGCACTGCACTTTGATGTCTTGTGAGATAAACTCCATTTGACTTTAGGCCTGGATCTCTTATCTCCTCACTCTGGGCCTTCGATGACAAATAAAAATCCTCACCCTGCTTTATGCAACCATCAGGTCATGATCTTGTCAGATCTCATGAAATAAACAAAACAAATTGTAGTCAGTACATCAGATGGAAATCACCACTAGAGAGCACAAATCTTCTGAACATGAAAATGCATCCACTTCAATATTTGATCTCCATCCCATTTCTTTTAGTCTGTCCTTTGGTCAGTAGGCTTTCACCCTGACTAGTAAGGGTCAAGAATCTGTCACTAATGGTCAGAGCATCTTCCATATGTTACCTCCTGCATATTCAGTTAGCACCACTGTAAAAGAGTTTCCTAATTTAAAGTTATTAGAACTTTCCCCAATTATTTTTTAATTTTTGATTTTACTGTGGAATCACTGGAAACGTAGAAAGCTGTGTAATTCCTGTTTCATGTAGTTGCTCTGAGCTAGGGGAACAACAAAAACAAAAATAAGGCCTATTTCTGTATCCATTCCTTAACAACAAGTCAATTTCTTCAAATAGTATTTATTTACAGTAATTACATTTGTGGACATACAAATGTAGTTTGAACAAACAATTCTGTATTTAAAACACAGGACTACTAAATTACAATTTACATGAAAATTAAACTTGAACCTTCAACAAACATTTCAGGTTAAAACCTCAAACTTCTCTTCCAAACCTGACTCCAGCTTGAATGACATAAGAAAATCACTGGGTTTTCTTCCTGACCTGAATAACCTTTTGTAATTAAATCATTCTGGTGCCTTGTCCTACTTCTCTTCAGTGCTGCAAATGAACAGTTTCTCCTTTGCCTGATCTCTCCATATATTGTGCAATTTTAAAAAATATTATAAAATATTTCTTATCAATATTTGAAGCCATACACTTTTAATCTTATATTTTGCATCAAATCCTGAAGAGTTATCAATTCTAAAATCCTCTTCCTTCTACTCACAAGATGCTCTTCCCTACTCACTTGGATGAGAACACCTTATTACCATATCAGCCACAAGCTGAAATTTCTGATCTGTCCCCTTTCCTTAAATTTACTTTTCATCCTGTCTGCTATACCAGCCATTAAGTGTGC